ACAGCTAGTTCATGGACATATTCAAGACGCCTTGAAAACTCTAACTTAGCAGTTCTATGCCAGAATTTCACAAATGGCAATAGAAAAATTTAGTGCCAGTTCTTATCTACCATGCTCAAGCAAACTGGTCACATTTTAAGAATAAATTCAGAACACCATTATTATTAGCAGGCACTGATAATTAATGAACTATATTCAGGGCTATTTTTGGGCAGGAACACACAGGAACAGACTTCCGGCTGGCTTCAGAGTTTGCCACGCCCACTACAGCCAAAACCTCTGCGTGTGTGGCTACAGAGGGAAGGCCTGGAGAGCGACCCCACCCAGCAACTCCAAGGCGGGATGGGGGGGCCCTGGAAGGATCAGGGAGGCATTTAAATGCCTCCCTGTGCCTTCATCGGCCTGTCAAAGGGCCGGCTTGTCCGGGCTCCCTGCAGCTGCAGGGTGTCCGGGCGGGACAAGGGAAGGCAGTTTAAACTGCCTTCCCTTCCTGGGGGGCAAGCCAAGGGAAGGCATTGGTGTGTGGCCTAATGTGCTAATGAGTTTCTGCTGTTGGGTGTGGCCTGTTATGCTAATGCATTCCTGATGGGCGTGGCCAACTTGGGACTATATTATTGATTGGACCCTAAAGGTATGAGTCACAGATCTCAGTATCCTTGGAAAGCTCTGAATGCCAAATGCAGAAAGATGTGATGGGGGAATGAGAAAGGTCCACAGGTGCTTCTCTTAGTCTGAGTTGGACAGCTTATCTCTCCTATATTATAAAGCTGTAAGACGCAAACTTCACGCAATGCGCCCCTACAGTGTTTGGACAGCTCGGCTATCCGTCAGCGGCTTGCCCACGTCCCATTGGCCACATCGTCGGAGTCCCACCTTGGACGCAGCTTCACGCGGCCTGCAGAGGATCTTCCCGGGGGCTGGAGGCGATGGGCGGCAGGCCGCACAGGGCGGTGAGGCGACTGCCGTGCGGAGGAGAGCCGAGAGGCGCGAGTGCCTGGGGACGACGAGGCGCAGCCTACGACCGGCGGCCGCCTGGGACGGGGCGGGAAGGGGGAGGGGGCGAGAGCAGAGGAGAGGCGACACCCGCGAGTGGCTGGCGACGATGGGCGGAAGGCTCACATCGGAAGCCGTCTGGGTCGGGGCAAAGAGCGGAAGGGGGCAAGAGCCGAGCGGAGAAGAGGCGGGAGTGGCTGGAGACGACGAGCGGCGGGGCGGCAGCCTAAGACCGGCAGCTGCCTGGGTCGGCCCGGAGAGGGGAAGGGGCAGAGAGACAGGCGGAGGACAGCCGACAGGTCTGAGGGGCTGGGGACGACGGGCAGCAGCCTAAGGCCGCCAGTCACCTGGGTCGGCGCGCAGAGAGGGAGGGGGCGACAGCCGAGCGGAGAAGAGCTGCAAGTGGCTGGGGACGACGGCCGCCAGGCTAAGCCCGCCAGCCACCTGGGTCAGGACGGGGGGGGGAGCCGAACGCCGTGCGGAGGACAACCGCGAGGCGCGAGTGGCTGGGGCCGACGGACGCAAGGCTAACACCGGCCGCTGCCTGGGTCAGGGCAGAGGGTGGGAGGGCGCGAGGAGGGGCGGCTAGCCGCCCGTTGTATCGCCCTTCTCAACGGGCCTTCCTCCCTAGTTTGCAATAATCTCCATGTCACATCTGCAGAGCTTTGTGCCTAACTCAATGTGAAAAAGATAAGCTAGAAGACATTTTTCTCCCTGTCCTAGAGCATTGCATCAAGATAGCTGTAAAAGATCAAACATATTGAAGCTTTCTGAATATGCTGGTTATAGCTCTGTGTTCTTCTGCTTACTGAACTGGCTTATTCTTTCAGCAGAACAAACTGTTCCACACTGAGGCAGGAGCTGGCAGTGTTTAAACAAAAGAACCCCCCCCCCCAACACACACACACTTCTGACTGTATTCTGCCAAAGACCCAGTGCATTTCCAATGCCAAGATACAAAAGGTCACAGGAGGCCAAGTCAAGCAACTAGTGCAGCTCCCGTATGCATCACAGCCAGCTAGAGAAGCAAGTGGTAGAGAACAGATGAAGACCCCCACATTTTCAGGATAACTACTAAAATACAACAGTGTAAGTACTACATGTAGGCCTTAAAGCACTTGTTGGCTTTGTAGAAGATAAGCAATTGATCCTCCAGCATCACCCGTATACAGTCAGTATCAAGCTAGGGGGATTTTAGTGGATCAAAGGGCTTTCTTTCATCACATTTTTATCCCACTCTTCCTCCAAGGAGCTCAGGGTTCTCTCATCCCTATTTTACCCTCATAACAACCCTGCAGGGAGGGCTGGTTGGGCCACTTGCACATCTGTATGCTCTCTCCCTGTGTGTGCAACTGGCTCAAGGTCATGCACAGAGCTTCATGGGTAAGTAGAGATTTAAATGCAGGTCACTCCATTCTTCGTCCAAAACATTCTCCTCTACCCCTTACAGGGTCTCATAAGAGGTCGGTTCTGTTCTCCAAGAAAGTCAGGAGATTTTGTGCTATTACCCTCACAACCTTGGAATTTAATGCATCAACTATCATCTGTGGTCAGAAATGAGGCCAAATGTGATACTAACAGAACTCCTGAATGAGAAAGGAATTGCTTGGAAATGTCATGTATTTCTCAGTGTTTCAAAGATGAAACATAATCAGCAAATTATACTCATTTTCTCTAAACTATTGGATTTTCCTCAATCCTCCATAAATCGGAAGA